GGCTAAGGTACTAGGCTGCTGACCTGTGGGGCGCGGGGTCAAATCCCAGCAGCGGCGGCTGCATTTCCGATGGAGGCTGAAATGTTGTAGGTTTGTGCACTTAGATTTGGGTGCACGGTAAAGAACCTCAGGTTGTCTTAATTTCTCAGACCATCTTCACGGCATCTTTCATAATCATATGGAGGTTTCGGGACTTTAAACCCCACATATAAATAAATGAGATGTTTATATAACGAGCTGTTTGCACTTGCGCAAAGATGCCAACTTGAACATGCGTATTAGCAGCACCAGAAGCTGATATGAAGCGCTGATGCTCACAAAGATGCTGGCCCTGGACACTGCTACATAACTCATCTTCAGCGCATGGCAACTAACCACAAGTGACGTTAACCCGACGTGACGACTGTATCATATAAGTACATATGCAAGGTTTATAATATTCGATAGGAAGTGCTGCAACTAACATTGACATTTCACAAAGATTGGCGTGTATGTGAAAAGTAGTTGTGAAACCTAGTGTAGCTCTGTATAAAACGCTTTATTGTCATACAGAATGATTGGGATCGATGCCAGCTCGGACCCTGACAATTATTGTTTGCATTCGTTGGGTCGACGCTACCGATGGCGGGTGTTTCCTAACGATCATGCGTTAAGATTTCCCATGTGTGTTCTCGTCGTTCATTCGGTAAATACGAAGTGTCCACCACCTGTGGCACATACCCTCATACCAGTAGAACATGTGTACGTGCGTGTGTACGTGCCACTGTCTGGCGAGAAATGTTTGAAGGCGTAAGAGGCGGAATTCTACAAGTATTCATTACTTGACCAGCGTGTTATATTTCTCAAACCATCTTACCCTGCCAAACTAATTTTTGGATCACACCGTGTTAAGAGGGAGACCAGGAGAGCACCCATACGTAAGCGGCTAGATAGGGAGATATGTAGATACATAGATAATGAAATATATATATATATATAGAGAGAGATAGATAGACAGATGGATAGATAGATAGATAGATAGATAGATAGATAGATAGATAGATAGATAGATAGATAGATAGATAGACTCAAAGTCGCCAAAGTTCAATAAGAAATTGATTAATATGTGGGGTTTCACGCCCAAAAATCACCACATGATTATGAGAGACGCCGTAGTGGAGGGCTCAGCAAATTCTGACCACCTGGGGTTCTTTAACGTGCATCCAAATCTGAGCACACCAGCCTATAACATTCCCACCTCCATTAGAAATTCAGCCGCCACAGCCGGGATAATTCACTAAGAAATTGTGACATCTAAATGTTTATATCGACTACCCCACAAAGATGACACTCTTGGATGACTTCATGAATCTGAGTATTTATCTTCATTTGATCTCAGTTCAGGCTATTAGCAGATTAGCGTCGATGATATGGACCGTTCGAAAACTGATTTCGTCACACCAGATGGTTCGTACCAGTTCCAAGTCATGCCGTTCGGATTGCGCAATGCGCCATCTACATTGCGACCCCTGGTGTAGCTCTGCGGTTAAAACGCTTTATTGCCATGCAGAATGCTTAGGATCGATGCTGGCTGGGATCCTGGCAATTAATGTTGGCATTCGTTGGACGTCTTTCTGTGTGGCTTGGTGAACGTGCCTCTGTTACCTCGATGATGTAATTGTGTTTTTGCCGACATTTCAAGGCCACCTGGAACGCCTAAAACTGTCCTCTCCGTGTTTTGCTCTGCTGCCCTTCTGCTCAAATATTCTAATCGCCACTTTGGCCACCTAAAAACTACCGTGCTTGGACATCTCATAGACGCTGCAAGCATCCAACATGAACAAAGCTCGGGCTGTGCGAGATTTTGCTATACGTAGATATGTGAAATTTAACGTCGCAAAACCAACACCTAATTATGAGATACGCCGTAGTGGAAAGCTCCGGAAATTTCGACCAGCTTGGGTTCTTCAACGCGCACCCAAATCTGAGCACACGGGCATACAACATTTCCGCTCCCATCAGAAATGCCGCCTCCATAGCTGGGACTCGATCCCCTGACCTGCGGTTCGTGGGATCAATTCCCAGCTATGGCGGCTAAGCCGAGTACTTTAGCCGAGTACCTTAGGCGAGTACCTTAGTACTAAGCCGAGTACATTAGCGATTAGACCATCGCGGCGGGGCTTGCTACACCTACTTCTACGAAATATGTGCTTATGCTCCTATTTTCGTGGCTTTGCAAAACATTTGCCGACATCGCTGGTTCTCTGACGACCTTCTGAAAAATTTACCTCTTTTTTAGGCACCGCATTAAGAGCACATCTTTTCTACCTTTATCCAGCGGCTTACAAGTTCACCTATTCCCTCGTACAATGACTGTTCTGTGCCCATTGAAGCACGCCCTGACGTGAGTGGTCTAGCATCGGTGCTGTTCTCACTCAGGATCAGCAGTGCCACGACCGTGTCATCGCTTACGTGAGCCACCTTCTCTTCACGTCCGAACGCCATAACTCAATAGCTGAGCAAGAATGCCTCGCCCTCGTTTGCGCTGTTCCGAAATTTCGACCGTACATGTTTGGCCGTTCTTTACGCGTCCTAGCTGACCACCATGCACTCTGTCGGCTTTCCTCTTTGAATTACCCAACTGGACCACTTGTGCGTCTTTAAGACTATAACTTCTCGATAGTACATAAATCTGGACGCATGCACAGCGATGCTGACGGCCGTGCTCGCAATTTAGTTTGCTACCTAAAAAAAGGCTAACTCTCACTACTTGTGTGTGCTACTCTTCCCACTGCTCCCCTACTCCCTACTATCACAACTCAATACTACACGCACTGCTGCTCCCGCCATTATCTCCAATTCAGTTACCTACTTCACGCGACGAATTTGCCACTCCACCCCACTTAAGGAACGCCACTGCACGCCACCATCTTCGGTGTCTCAAACGTGTCCGCCAAGCACTACACAATCCTGTGGATCAACTGGCCGACAAAAATGTTGACATGGCAATCTGTGCTTTGTCCTTTTCGGGCTATATAGACATAACGACCAGCGACGACAAGACCCTGCTCTTCGAAACGTTATAGACCACCTAAGCTACGCGCCAAGTGATCCTTCACTTTGAATTTTCCAATGCATGATGGCAATTTATGCCGCCGCAACATTCACTCTTATATTCCTCAGCTGTTAGTAGTTGTTTCCAAGCAACAGCGACTGGCCGTGCTGCAGAATATTCACGAAGCTCACACTGCTGGCCATATGGGCATCACTCGAAATTACCAGCGCGTACGTCGCCACTTTTTTTCGACCGGTCTCCAGCAATCTGTGCGTCACTATGTCGCTTCTTGTGACATTTGTTAGCGAATGAAGATGCCTCCCTTACCTCCTGCTGGTTTGCTTCAGCCAATGGAAGTTCCTTCAGGGCCATTCTTCCACGTGGGCCACGACCTACTTAGCCCATTCTATTTTTACCATAGGGGAAAAGTGGATCGCCGTCGCAACAAATTATACAACGAGATATGCCATTGCGTGGGGGATACCGTCCAGTGGCGCCACAGACGTTAGCGACTTCCTACTGCAAGATGTCAACCTGCACCATGGCGCCCCTCGACAGCTGCTAACGGATTGTGGCCGTTACTTTTTGTCGAAGAATGTCGATGACCTGCTCCACTCCCACTCTACGAAACACAAAATTGCTGCCGCGTACCACCCTCAAGCGAATGGGCTCACCGAGCGTCCGAACCGCACTCCTTCTGACTTGCTTGCCATGTGCGCTTATGACGGTCACGGTAAATGGAACACCACTTTATCGCACATTATATTTGCTCACAATTTGTCTCGTTATGACACCGCAAAATTTTCGCCATCTAAGGTTTTGTACGGCCGTGACCCTCTTTTGCCCTTTGATACGTTACTACGCACTGGCGTACAGTACAATGATTGATTACGCCGCAGTGCAATCACCTTAGCTGTCCGAGCCAGAATGGTCGCTCGTCGTCTCTTGACAGTATCCCTAGCGTCTCCTGCTGCTTCCTTGTACTAGTTCGCTTGTCCTGCTTTGGACACCTTCACGTCGCGTCGGCTTGGCGGAGAAACTATTTTCTCCTTACTCTGGGCATTACAAGATCTTGCGCCAGTTCTCTGACGTGATGTAGGACATTACACTAGCCGACGCGTTTTGTTGCCTCGCGTCAGCAGAGACATTTTTCACGTCACCAGAATCAAGTCCTATATATTCACTAAAACTGATGCTCTGTGATTTGCACCAAGACGGAGCTGAACCCGCTGGGAGGGTGCACTGTTGCGGCAAAGACCACGAGAAAGCTCACTCGGATGAGTAGCACACGACGTTTTCTGTCGCCGCTTGTGCAGCAGCTAAACTAGCTTGTTATACATGAGCTCTGAGCTCGCCTCTTCACTGTCTTCGTGTGACAATATGGTTACCCAAAATACTGGTATAAGGGCAAGTACCAAAATTATTTTGCGCCCCTCATGCACAGCCTATCACGCTCTTCTACCAAGGCAGTGCAGTAAGTTTGTCCCTTCATCATCACTCACATAAACGTTTATATAACATTCACCAGTCAACAACTCGTTTCATTTACGTGAACTACCAGTTGCGTTTTCATAAGATTAATTCGAGTAAATCAACGCTTCTGAATAGCTGTGTGAAAACTACGGTCACTCAAGGCAGAAAATTGAGGCTGCGTACAGGAAAACAACCACTCTGTGGGTCACTTCTTTGCTTGTGCTGGTTTGAACAAATAAAGCTGATGTATTTCTCGCGCTAGATGATGCTTTCACTGTAATGTCATAAGTAGCTGTTTTTTCCGTGTTTATTTTTGTACTTTTTAGAGTATGCATGCGTAATTAGCCACACCTAACAACTCAAAACATTGTTAACTGCACTAGATCTACCAGCGGCGTCTGTGAGTCTCGTTCGCGTTTCGTGACAAATCAATAAATAGGTTCAATATTTCAATTTTAATGTTATTGCAATTTTGGTAGGTTAAAGAACTTACCCGTTCTGCAGGGATTAAGCCTCGGTAATATATAGAGGCAAACCAAACCTGAAAAGAGAATATTTTTAAAATGATGATTTAGAGATACACACAAGCACACGCTCTCAGAAGTTGAAAATACCATATCAGAAATGTTTATAAACAAGTTGTTTTTAATGTGTATTTACCAATGTTGTCCTACAGTCATACTTCATGCAAGGGTTACACCTAGGTGATAATTCCACAGCGCCTCATCATTCAAGAGAAGCCCCCGAATTAATTTTGCTGACAAGGCTTGGGACAGATGTTTGTTAAAGTTGTTGAGCGCATAAAACTATTGCGGTAAACTTCACGCTCCAATGCAATGTGCTTTTTCATCTGTTCGCATTCCGCTTGTTTTCTGAGTCAGGCTGTAAAACTTGAAACACTTTGTTCAAGCCTATTTTGCGATGACGTGAAAATAAAAAGCTTCACGCCGCTAGCACGAAGGTAATCATAGCCCACAATAAAATATTTCCACTAAAACTGCATGAATCCTGCTAAGTGGTCGACGGCCGCATGAAAAGTTGGGAAAATTGAAACCTCCTAAAATACATGCTTGACAAGCGCCAAACAAAAGACAACCAGAGTCATGCCATGGACCATCTCCTAACCTCGCACAAAAGGGCGGGAGGAACGGACTCATCCTTTCTTGAAGAATATAGATAGGCAAACGACACCTCCCCATGAAGACTGCACAACCCACCGACTACCCACAAAAAGCATGCAAACACTACCCGAACTCGGCGAACCCTGCACGAAGTCTGAAGTTTCGGAAGCATTACACAACCTGAACAGTTGATCGGCCCCCGGTCCTGACAAGGTAACCAACTGCCTGTTGCGGAATTTAGACGATCAAGTTATCACACTACTCACAAAAGACATTAATCACGTGCGGGAAACCGGCCAGGTACCTGAACAATGGCGCACGGCCATGGTGATTCTTCTCTGAAAGCCCGGTAAGCCACGAAATATTGGCAATCTATGCCCTTTCTCCCTAACCTTATGTTTAGGAAAAGCAGCTGGACATGCCGTTTTAAATTGTGTACCGCGTTACATAGAAGATAGCGAACTCTTTCCATTCAACATGGTCGGGTTCCGTCCGCACTTATCAACACAAGACGCCAGGCTATTACTAAACAAAGAAATCTCCGACGCAAAAAGAGAGAGATGTCAATGGCTTCGTCACTCAAGACCTCACTAAAGCATTCAACAGCGTCTCCTTTTGCTTTATACTGGAATCCATTGCCAGCCTCGGTCTCGGTAAAATATTCCAGGCACACATTCGTTTTTTCCTACAAGACCGATAAGGCCAAGATTCAAATATCGCAACTTTTGCCCAACACCTATGCATTAGGTTTCAACGGAACACCACAAGGAGCAGTCATTTCTCCACTGCTGTTTAACATAGTTATGAAGGGACTGTCTGACAAACTCCGCCACATCACTAGCATAAACCGTGGTACATACGCAGATGACATCATCATCTGGTGCCCGGGAGACTCCTTGGCAGAGTCAGAGCCTGTATTTCAAACCGCTCTCGATACCACGAACCACTCCCGAAACCTCAAATACAGTGGACTGCGACTGTCGCCCACAAAATCAGAGTTGCTACTATGCCGGTCAACTCGCCAAGGCGTTCGTAATTGAATGCCCTTATATGAACTACCCATAGCACAACACGCAAAAGATGGGTAACGATCCCGTGTGGACTCCATACGCACTCTCGGCCTCCTAATTGAGGCCTCTGGCTGCCATGCACGAAGAATAACACACATCATAGCAAAAACGGAAAACATGCTCCGACTGATTCAGTGAGTCTTCGGTCACAGACGAGGGCTTGGAGAGGGCAACCTTTAGTGCATATACTACGCGTTCCTGATGAGCCACATCCATTACGTCACCACTGGCCACAATTGGACAATTGTGGAAAAGATAAAAAAACACGCTCATGCACAAGAGCATTAAGAAAGTCTTTGGTCTACCTCAACATACGAGTGCTTTCCGTGTAGACCAACTAGGCATGCACAACAACATCGATGAAGTGACGAAGGCTCAGACCACGGCTCAAGTGATCCACTTCTCTTCCTCCAATGCAGGCCGCCAACTTCTAAGGGAGACTGGCATGTCTCCACATTCTTACCTTGAACGCGCAGCAATCCTCCCTAGAGCTGTACGCGCTACCTACATGATAAACCTATTTCCGCGATATGTTTACCCACAACACAACATAGGCAGACGCCTAGCCCGTGGTTGTGCAATCCTTAACCGTACCGCTGTGAATCGCAACTCTACTGTCTTCATCGATGTGGCGCAATACAATAACTACTCCACCTTCGCACTAGCGGTAGTAGATAGCGACGGAGCCCTAAGATCAGCCTCCTCAGTTAGACTAGCAACGAGCGCCATAGCCGAGCAGGTTGCTATAGCTTTAGTGATGGTCGACCCCCCACAAACCCATGTCTTCACAGACTCTCGCGCCGCCATTCGGACTTACGAAACCCGCAACATCGCTCGAGAAGCAGCCCACATTCTACAAATACTCGAATGCATGGGCTTTCACTACCCCTTTTACTTTACTAGCCACATGGGCTAAGAGGTCCACCCACATCAACCCAACCTCAACAAAATGGCTCATAATCGAGCGCGAGAGCTGACCCGCCGCAACTACCAATCAGCCACCGAAGAGCTGGGCCCCGACGTACTGTTTATAGATCCTTTACTCACCTTTCACGAAATTAACTCCTAATACCGAAATCATAGAAGCCAATACCCTTTACCACATGCAAAGCTCGAACGCGCGCAGGAGGTAGCTTTTCGCATGCTACAAATGAGATCGTACCCATCACGGGGCCGACTCAGGCGTTACAACTCAGACGAAGATTCACAATGCCCAGACTGCTCAGATGGGTGTTGTTCACTCGAACTCATGCTCTGGTAATGTGCTGTGTTACTCAGGAGCGCCAGTCTTAAAAACCAACAGAAGGCAGTCCAGAGTGCCCAAGAACTGGTGGAACGCCAACACGTTCCCGCCACTACTCGGGCGTCACCTAGAGTAGCGGCTGCTAAAATGTCTCTTGCAAACATCCTGGTGGCTTAAATTCTTCAAGACCATTTAATGAATTTCTTGACTGACTGACTGACTGACTGACTGACTGAATGACTGACTGACTGACTAAAACTGCAAGTTTGAGTGGCGTAAGCTGCATTTTAATTAATTTCAGGCATGATTTGAAATTTGTAATTTTCGAAGAACACTAGTAACGTTTCAGAAGTGCTGATTTAAACTTAAGAGAAAAGAATGGAAACGTCACACAAGTTGAGAATTGAAAAATTCTACCAACTTCAAAAATAGATCACTCGTTCGAAGGGATTAGTGCAGCTCTGCAAGCGAATTGCGATGTGTATTAACTGATAGAGTCCTTCAGAGCAACGTAATTGTACTTGATATGTTCAGGAATACCAAGAAGAGGCAAAGCGATGTGGTCGTGCTTAGCACGAGCTTGTGCAGTATATTAACAGCACGCCACTCGTTTCCTAGTCTCAGCCTGTAGAGCAAAACAAGGGTGGCTGTGGGTGGCATCTTTCAGCAAGAGTGGCTATTTTGCTACTCCAATGACTCCGAGTTCATTTATGTATACTTGTAAACTCCACTTTATGCACTTATTAGCCGCCTCTGTTATATACAGAAAAATAGAAGCTTTCCAGGGGGCTGCTTGTTGTTTGCAAGTTTACTGTAGTGTGCCTGCTAACGCACGGTATTCTTCCAGTTGGCTAATTCACTTCACTGAACCGGAATGAACGCGCAGTGTGCCCGCAAAGACAGCTTGATGAAGTTGCAGGAGTGATGGAAGACACGTGGCTAGTGTGCAATCCGTGGTTTTTTACATCTATGTGGACGTAACTTTCTAAAGATGTTATCACAGTGCGATGTCTTTTTCAACCTTTACAATGAAAAGAAAGAACCACTACACAAGTAAGAGGCACTGCGTTTGTGGTTATGAAACCAGGAAACTTAGTTCCAAGGCTTTGAGGAAACACCGCTTTAGAGTATAATAATACTGGTGACCCTGACTTCGGTGTTTGAAAATAACCTATTCGGACAATAACTGCGTCTGTTCCATACACATTTGCTTGAGCGCTCAACCTATAGTACGTAATGCTTTAGACATGTTTACAGCAGGTGCACAACATGACAGATAAAAGAGAATGCAAAAAATTACAATATTATGCGCTTTATCTGCAACAATTGCAGAGTTTCTATTCATCTCAGAAACGATATTGTCCAGAATTAGTAACTGCTTAAAAATATTTAGGCAGTCACAGAATATGCAAGCCAACCTGAGCAGTAGAGACTGAAAACGTTACTAACTCATTTATTTGTATACTGCACATGCCAGCTGGTTCCCCTTTTAAGCTGACACTTTTCATGCCCTGACTAGAACTGAAAGCTGACTCTGCGAATATAAAACTAATCACCACTCAAAAATTTTTCCAGAATAATTTGACACAATTTATTTTTCAGTGCACTCGCACAGCAAGCAGAGTATCCACAAAATCAAGCCGTCTTTATACTTTTCTAACATGACATAGAAAACGTTTGCTGATTCAACTTTTGCATACTAGGTGCTATCATATCATTCTTGACATAATGCGTCACTGCACAATATGCCGCCTCAGGGTACCATATATTGCAAGTGCGGAAACGTGCTGTTTTTAGCCCCTAGGTTCTGCTTAGGTAGAAGCTTATTGGAAGTGTATCCGTCAGTTTTTTGTTTCTGTATTTCTTTTAACGCTTTCATTATCTAATTCCGTAATGAATTTGCTATTGAAATAGCTAAAAAAATAATATTTTCTGACCTACGCTATATTTGTGAATTGATGATCTGTCAACCAGTGAAAGCTTTTACCATTATGTCTCTTTTTTTGTTCAATCTGACGTTATGTGTGTTTATTGGAAAAACATGTCAGAATACCCCCAATATTATTTGCTTGACAATCATTTAGATCAAGGTTACAGTCCAATTCATTAT